ACACTTTCACAATTTTATTAACCCCATCTTTTATATTTTAATGATATTGGATTAGAAAATACAAACCATATCGATATAGTTTGTGATAAGGCTTTATTTAAACGCTTAATTTCTTACAAAGATACTCATCCACAAGTTAGGTTACTATTAGGGCAATGGCATACATCAAAAAATATGTGTAGCGTATTAATTACTATTTTCTCAGGTTATAGTATTTTTAATTTAGCTGCACGATTGGGCGTGTTTTATCTTGATAAGTTGGAAAAAGTAGTCAATTATTCTGCAACCTGTCAAGTATTAGAGCTAATCTGGGTTGCAGTTGGATGTGCACTCATTCAATATGCTCATCAAAAAGGAGAATCATTACAAAATATAAAAGATGGGTTTAATAAAATTGTGAAAGTGTGGTATTACTATTTTTGTTGGGGAGGCTATTAGTTAGATTATACAGTTGGAATTCAAAAAGGTAACTTTGACATGCAATTTAAAAATCTTGCTACCTTTTTACCACTTTTTCCTGTAGCAGAGAAAAGCAATTATGCTAGATCTGTCACTTATTTTTTATCACATATTGAACAAGATATCGAATTTCAAAGACTTCTTAAGCATGTGTGCTCAGTAAATCTTACACGTCCAGATCATTTTTTTGGATTTGATGAAGCATTAGAAAGATTTGGCATTTAATTTATTAAACAAAATATTGGTGGTAAACGGTTAACAAATGAGGAATTAAAATTACAAGTATCTTCTATACAAGCAGAAAAGGAGTGATTAGAGCTACTAATTTCTAAATATGTTAGTGATAAGCTTTATATTAAAGAAGAACGAACTATAAAATCACAAAAAGAATCTCTCTGGAAACTTATATCTGATTTAGTAAATGCATTTTCTCAGCCTAATTCATCTTTACATGAACTTTTTTTAATACTAAGGAACTCAATGAGGCTGGCTTTCAACGCCTATTTTCATGCTATAATTTGGGTATTTATTGTCTTAATATAATCTTAAAACAAGACGTTTATAAAACTGAGATTCAAAATCCAAAAGGTCGTCGAGCTCGTAATATTACAGTATACAAGTGGCAAAATTTACAAGAAAAGAAAAATTCTAAAACTAAACAATCCAAAACCAATATTGATAAAAATAATACAACAAAACCATTACAACACAAATGTCAAAAATGTCAAACCAGTGAAAAAGAAAAAAAAATACTCGAACCTATTCTTTCTGACAAAACTTTCCCAAATGATAAACTTTCTGAAATTCTTTCTCAACTTCAAAATGAATCTAATGAATGGTCAGAATCACGCATAAAAACTTATTGGCGAAATAATCGATTAAATAAATAGATATCTGGGATATTATATAAATTATAATTGCTAGAGATAAGGAAAGCAAAGTAAAATCTTTCAAACTATATTCTACAAAATTTTAGAAAGATCTAAGCTAACCCTAATTGGGTTCAGTTATCTAGAAATTGAATCCAACATTTGAATATTGAAAGTTTGGTTCAAAATACAAATAGCTAACTTTTAACAAAAGAACAGTTTATCTATTAGAAAATAAGAATTATTCTGTATTGAACATTATCATAAATATGTTATTGATTATAGGCAAATATATTAAATAAATAAATATTGACTTATTCTTTTTTAGTTAAAATGTAAAACATAAGACTTTATACACCTAAAAAAAATTCTATAAAGAACAAAGCTAAAACAAAGGTTTCAATGACTAAAAACTAGAATTAGTAAATTGAATATATACAGTTCAACCCAATTTCTTTTCTATAAAAAACCTAACTTTGCACATTCCTCTAGCATATTAACATGTCTTGGATAATATTTTGAGCGCTATATGATCTCTTATTCAACACCTGAATCAATTTGATAAAAATAATCAGCATTATATATTCATCTGAATTACTCAAATTAGCAGTTTTTCTTATGTTGATAGCGGTGACTGACACCAGACATTCCACGAGAATCTTCCATCTCTGCTAATTTTTGATAATAAATGAATGCAATATATTCATCCTTCTCAACACCGATTCATTTTCATAGCGAGTACTAACATTACATGTTTCTAATACATTCCTCTAGTATTACTCATATCTTCAGATCTCTTAGTGTCAATGCATTATTTGACACCACTTCTAATAATCATTCAAATCTGCAAGCGATTATTCATATTTTTCTCACATAATAAGTATCTATGTGACTTCTTAATACTTCTGCGTTATTTGGTTCAAACTATATCAATTTATTCGAACCTTTAAGCGATTTTTCATATCTGCTAATTATCGCTATGACTTACTAATGTACTTGCGTTAGTGATTTAATTTGTAACAGTTACAAGTGATTCTTTATATTCTCTTAACCATTGTGATCATCAACTATTCATCCTTCTCTATCCTAATTCTATTCTACAATACAGTGCAAGATGTTCTAAAAGTATACCCATAACTTTAGCATTACTCATATTCATGGTTATCCTTTAATATCTATTTTATTATTTACTACAGTGCAGACAACCTAGTCCCGGCAAGTAAATTTGATTAAATTCAAAATGCTAATCCTTGCTAACAAAAGATCTTTTCATAGCACATTAAAACTATTCAAGCTAAATATTTTGATGGTCTTAAATTTCTTTTAGAATTATTTTTAATAAAGTAGCAAAAATTTAAAGTCAAAGTAATTTTATAATTAAACAAGCAATTTGGCCACTTGAAATATATTATTAAACAGGCATATTTGACTACTTCATGAGCTAAATTTGGCCACTTTATATGCTAAATTTGGCCACTTAATATATATATATAATTAATAATTTGCTACCCTATGTTAAATTTTCAAATTTGGCCACATGGTATATATAAAAATTTGGTTTTAAATTTGACTGCTAAAATTTTTATTTGTTGGGACTAGGTTGTTCATATTGTAGAATCCTTCTTGGAAATTCAAAATCTATCTGAATACATCGTTTGCAAGATTTAAGATAGACATCCAGAACTGTTATATGCTTTTGCATTTCTCACAAATTTATAATATTTAATAAATGACTTACTTCTTCATATGTTATAGTTCATACTTATCGAAGTCCTAGTAGTAAACCCGCAAGCCCTAAAGTATCCAAACCTAACCACACCTCAATCGAAACCTTATTAGATATTATTTTAGTATATAGTGCTTAATTTTATATTGCACCTTTTAGCTGTATTGAAGTCAGGTTGCACTCTTACAATGTACAGATCGGGTTTCATGATAATAGGCTGCTCCATGACTTCTTCGTTCACATGCAGCCCATAATTTGATGATAAAATACAATTTTTTAAAAAAAGATACTTTAAGAGTTTTTAGTGCAGGAGTTAAAAAAGTAACCCATGTTAGAGTTTAAGACAATAAAAAGTGTTTGTTATATATAAAAAGACTAATTAAGTTGTAAAGTATAAATATTAATCTGAAGGAAAGTTCGCATTTTTTTTATAAAATATATAGATCATCGTATTATTTCATATGTGCTGCAACTTGCAGATCTACTAATTAAATCATTACCCTGAAAATTTTCAGACATTACGCCTGACCGTTAAGTAGAATGATAATGATAATTTTATTCAGTAAAAATATATATATTGTAATATATATAAGAATAATAATACTAATTTTTTACATTCTTATCTATTCTAAAATTCTAGTCTCTATCCAATTCTTTAAATACAATGAAGCTCTAGTTGTTTGTTCTAAAAGATGATTTCATATAAGATTAATAGTATGTTTCACAACAGAAAAGGCACGTTCACATGGAACACTCGTAACTTGAAGTGCATAGTAATTTGCTGCAATAGAAGCTATGGTTGAAAATCGAGAAGAATTATTTTTCCACCATGCTAGTGGGTTCATATTTTGCTCTGGAGGTAATGTGATATAGATGGCTAATTCTTTTATTAAATCTCTCATTAAATCCTTTGTTTTATTTTTATTTTTATTTAATTGAATTAGTTTATAGAAATTGTCTAATGAACTTTCTTGTTTAGGTGATATGATCACCTTATCAATATAATGTGTTGAATATAAAACTGTCAACTGACTTATAGTTAACTAGCGATCCTCTTTATTAAATATTTCAAATTTAGTTGACAGATTAAGAAATGCAAAAATCATGGAAGATTGTGATAGCAAAGATCAGTAGTTTTCTAATTTTATTTTTATTCTTTTTGCCATTTCATGATATGTATTATTATTAAAAATATAATGATCTAAATGAGCAAAAAGACCTTGAATGATTACTCGTAGAGATCTATGAGAAGGTAATGAAGCATTTGAAAGTATTAATGTTGCTTCATAAAAAGGTTGAAGAAATTCTAGCATGTTTTTAATTATTTCTCAATTGTTTTGTTCTAATATTTATTTTTTAAATTAGGATATAATTGTACAAGACCATCAATAATATCTTTAAATTCAATGAATCGTTCAAGTATAAGATAAGTAGAATTTTATCTTGTATCGATATTGAGCTCGGGATAAAGAGACAGATGGTTTAGAATGGCAGATATTTTTTTAACACTTTCTAGAAGCAATGATAAGTTCCTAATTTTATTATAGAGATGTCATGTTTTTTTTATCTGATTTGAATAAAAATTTTAACCTTCTTTCATAACAAGATTTATAACATGTGCTGCACAGTGCACGTATATAAGCACAGGGTTTATATTTTGCTAAAGGTAATGCATACAAGTTTGGTTATTAAATGCATTATTACTTGTGAACCCGATTATCTTTTTCTTGATTTCAAAATCTTCTGCCAATTTAAGAATATTTTCTCCAAGATAATTACTAGTGTGTGCATCATGTAAAGAAACAAGATCAAGGAGAATTGTACGAATTAACCATTTGGTATCAACCCAATGGACAGTGACTCTGAGGAAGGGCTGCTGAGTATATGCAGTCCATACATCTAGAGTAAGAGCTAATTTACTTTTATTATTTTTTAAAAGATCTTTTACTTTTATTTTTTCTAATTCAAACTAGTTTTTAATATTTTCAGAAATGGTTTGGCAATATGGAAGTTTGTAATGTAGATCAAGAGCAATAATAAATTTAACGAAACAATTCTCTTCTAAAGAGAAAAAGGCTGTTGACTAATTATCATAAACTCTAATAGACTACAATCAAGAAGTCTATGCGATCTCTATCAGCAATTGAATATAGAGAAGGTCAAACAATTTTTGTAGGCTTTTGAAATTCTTTAAAAATATTTAGATATTTTTGTTCAAAGTGGCATGTTATTGTCGATAACGACATGAATGGACCCCATTTACCTTTAATACCTTAATCACAAGTTTTACAAACATGAGTGCCATCTTCAAGTATATCAAGATACTTGTAAACAGGATGTGGGTTTTTTTGTTTTTTTTGTTTTTTACTTTTTGATTATTTAGTAATTTGATTTGAACTACTAATACTCTCAGAAGAGTTTTTGAAAAAAGAGTCAATTGTTACAATAGATATAATATTGACAGATTAGATTATCGAAAAGTAAAAAAAAGGATTAGGATAATTGAACAAATTTTTTACTGATAGGTTCAATTAATATCGAAAGTAGAATAGCGAGACATGCAATTTATATTTGAATTTTTTTTTAAATATATATATTTAACAATTAATAAATTTTATTAATCTTGATTGATTACTTAAGAGGTTTGTAATATAGACAATTAAATCTATTATTTGTATATATTTTTTTTAACATCATTGTTTTGCAATACAAGGCTATATGCGAGAGTATATAAATTTTAAGATCATATTATATAGTTGTTTAATTTGATAAAACATATAAAAATAGTGATATTAGATGAAATAATATTACTATAGCCAAAACTAGTAATAGGACTAGGAAGGCTAAAAATTAAATATTATACACTGTGATCTATCAAAGAAATCTTGATTCTTAATAAATTTTAAATGAGAGAATTAAGTATCGCCTGTTTTTAACTACATTACCTATCACTAGTCAAAGTCTAAGTATATGTACTGCAAATACATATCAATAAAGTTCTAAATACACATCCTTATGCTAGTTCTGTAAAAGATGCATTTAAGAAATTTTGATTATTTATTTAGTTACCACTCTAATTAAAATCTATTTCTTTTTTTCATCTCATTGTAATGACCTAAAAATTTTAAGTTCGCCAGGGCGACCAACAAAAGTACAGTCATATTATCTAGATTATTGCCACAGCTATATCTTAATAACTAGTATATTGCTTTGTTATATATTTTAAGAAACTTTCACAACAAGAAGCTGCATGCAAAAACTAGATGATTTAACAATTTTTTAAGAAATTTTGAAATGGCTATAGTATCAAATCATGTGCCTGTACTTTTGGTGATCACTCTTGCGAACTCAAAAATTTTTAACTTCTAACAATACTATACAATTTTGCTAATCCGATTAGAGGATTTTTAATAATTATATAATATCTTTTATTATTATACTTTTGGCAAATTATATAGACTATTAAAACATTTTAGCCAATTACATAGAATATCCTTGACTATTGTTTAATATAATTTTGTGTATAGTCCTTATAATAGTAAAGATTGACCCAAATAATAATATAAATAATTAATTGATGATTCAAAATAACAAACATAATTATTAAATTATTAATAACTACTTACATCGAATCCTAATGGTTACTGAGTCTTGCATTAAAAAGATTAAAATATTAATACTATTAAAAAAAGTTAAAATATCAATAACATTAACATGCTGATTACCGAATGTATTGACAACTACTTATATCGAATCTTGATAGTTACAAAATCTGCAGTAATAAAAGATTAAAAAGTTAATGTGGAATTTCTTATACCAAATCTTGATAGTTACCAAATCTTGCATTATTATTTCTTATTATTAGAGATCAAAAAGTCAATTATATTAATATGCAAAATATATATGCAATAAAAAAAATAAAATTTGATACTATATAAATTTTGCAAAAGCAATAAATTAGTAATATATATACTATAATAATTAAATAACTAAACTACATATCTATATAAGATCAATCTTATTTATGCAGCACTTTATCTAAACTAGTAAATTCATTGAAGCATTCTTCAACTTTATTTGTTATACCCAATTCACAGAACCATTTAAGTAGTTTTAGTTGTATAAACTGGAAGCCAATAATGATATTACCTAAATTGTAACAGAAAATTCAAGTAATATTGAAAAAAACACGAGATGATATATGTATATGGGTGTTGCTAAAAGAAAACTGAAAACCTAAAAATTTAAATATAAGTTATATTTAAATTTTCAGATTTCCTTTTAGTGGCACTCATATTAAAATTATTTAAATATACGTATAGACGTATTCAAAATAATATACAGATAATCGAAATATTATATAGATACTATTATTTTGAGAATTTATAGCACAGAAATTAGCCATTGTTTCAAAATAGTATACAGGCAGTATCGGCAACTAGATGAGATAAGGCATATAAATTTGCATCTATTGGACAATTAGACATAAAGTTTTATATATTTAGTCTTTTTAATAACAATTGCCAAATAACGATAAAACAATTATTGACTCATATCTAGGATATCAAGACTTACATGATTTCAGAGATTTGTTTATCATTATTTAATAATGAAAAATCTCTGAAATCGCCCAAGTCTAGGCACTCTATACATAATTTCAAAAGCTTGAATTGTTATATAAGGCCTCATTCTTTTCTCTGCCTATTAATTAATTTTTTGTTTATAATTTGTTATCTTCAAATAATTATAGTTATCATGTTGACCTCTGAATCTTTCTCTGCTTTGTCTTTCATTGAAGATGTAACTTCTAAACAAATCCAATTTAGAAAGCAAAAAGTTCATCAATATTTTGATGAACTTGAAACTTTCAAACTCTGCGATACATGTGAAAATTTCTTGTATTCGACCGTTGAAGAACATCATATAAAATTATTAAATTGCAACCTATTACGATAGGTTGTAATTAATAATCAACCTTTATCAACCGTAAAAAATAATTTTTTAACAATTTATTTTCTACCTTAACCCATATTATAAAATTCCTCGTGCTCAAACTCTATCTGAAAATATTGAAAACCAATTTAATTTAGCAAAAACAACTATAAAAAATTTTTTAAAAAATAATCAATGTAAACTAGCTTTTACTATAAATACGTAGACTGCATATACTCAACAGCAATTTCTTAGTATTACTGTTTATTTGATCAATGCTAAGTGGAAAATGCATACTATTCTTCTTGATATTATTTTTCTTCCTGATGTTTACACTGGCGATTATATCAGAAAAAAGATTCACAAGCTTGTAGAGAATTATAAAATTACATTAAAAATAATTGGTTTTACTGAAAATAATACTCCAGATAACCAAGCCTGCTATTGCTATTTTGAAAAGTTATAAATTCTAATTTTTTGTTCATTCATTGCACAGTATATACTATTAATGATGTGGTTGAGAAGTTTTAAAAAATTATTATAACCATATTAATAAAGTCTATTATTTTTATAACAAATTAATAACATCATCTCTGCTTCTGATAGAATTAGAAAAAAGCTTCGTCAAATTAAATTCATTAGATGATTCATTACCTATCCTGAAATTAATACAAACAAGGGTGATGCTCTACTTATTTAATACTTGAATAGTTCATTCAAATTTGTACTACAACTGACGCACTTGCTGATTCTCGTTTAGACATCAAAGAGATTTATCTAAACTTTGATGATTAGAAAATAATTGAAAAAATAGTTGAGATTCTTAAACCTTTTTATAAGACAACCATAGTCTTATTATCACATGATCCACAGCTTTTGCATGGAAATATATGAACAATTACTCAAGGACTCTTATGGCACCTTAGTGATTATACTATTATTAATAAAGCAGCAAAAGAAATAAGAGACAAGCTAAAGGAGTATTGGATTTGCCTAATGAAATTTTGTACTGTATCTGTTGTATTTGATCTGTTAACTAGACTCAAAATCTTTGACAATGATGACAAACCATATTTTACTGCTGAGTTAAATATTATCTATCAACAATATAAACTAAACCAACCGTATATATTACCTCAAATAGATCTATTAGAGTTTTTTCAAAATTTGGTGCCAACTATTAGAAGAAATAAAAAAGCTCTAATAAATGAAGTAGATCTTTATCTTGCTTTGTCTAATGAGCTAGGGATCAACATGCTCAGGTGGTGGAAAAATAATGCTTACCAGTACCCCACCTTAGCACTTATAGCAGCAAACTTTTTTTCTCTACAAGCTACTAGTATTCCCTCTAAGCATGCATTTTCTGTAGCAAAAGATATTATTAAGCCTACAAAAAAGTTTCTATTAAAGCAAACAGTAAAAGCTTCATTGCTTTTAAAAAACTGGTTAGAAGCTAGAATTTTAAAATAACCATTTATTAAATATGTATCTTTATTATCGCTTTTGTTATATTTTGCAAATTTTTTTTAAATAAAGTTATTATTATCATTATCTTGATCTTTATAATCCTGTGATATCTAATATTGCATGTGATTACAGGACTGGGTCCCGAGTCTGACTTGGGACCAAGTCTAAATTAAAACTTGACTCCATAGAGTCGAGTCAGACTGGACCGGACTTTTAACATCCCTAGTGCCAGGTTATGTCGATCATGTGGCCAAACTGCAAATCAGATTTCAAGATCAGGTGTAATGTAACACAATCATGAAATTTCTTTTGTCAAAAATCGCTTATTAATCAAAAGTTTGCATAAAAAACCACCTTTAGTGTACTAACAAAAAGTTCTTCTTGAACGATTTTACTATAACTATCTAACCTCTAACCATCCCTAACCCTAATCCTAACTCTAACATTAATAAACCAAAAAAATTTGCCTGCGCCATATGATCGACATACCTGGCACAGAATCCATACGTGCTTACGAAAATTGCAGTGAAGGAACGGTTTGTGGACCGTGATTTGCACGTTAAATTTTTTGTGAAGGTACGTAATGGTTGTTTTTCTCATACCATTTTGGACTGTACTATGTGCCACTTTTCTTACAGGGCTCATTTATATCATTTACGATCGATTTCAAACCCGATTTGAGCATTATGTGCAGTCTGAGTTTAAAAGTTTCTAATTAAGATCATGTGATTACAGAAATACACGTTTAACGGGTTTGGGTTTCAAACAGGCACAAACCAAGCATTGCCCAAAGATCTGTTACGTTCAGTTTTTAAAATTAATTTTCATTCCGATTTTTTGTTCTATTATTACGTAAATTGGTTGTAATTTTCTTTTTGCTTTTTATATTATTATTTTACATTCTGATTGTTTGTTCTTTTAATACATAAATTTGTAGTAATTTCCTTTTTATTTATTATATTACTATACCTTTAAATTTATCATTGTCAAACTTTTTCTTTTTTGAGCACTAAAAAATTTTTTTTCAAATATCAACATTATGAATACTTTATATTGCACATCGTGCCGAAAGTATAAAGCATCAGATATTTTTCAAGGAAAAAAAACTTGATCTCAATGTTTAGAACATGTTAAGGATAGTAAAAAGTGAAAATGTGAAGAAGAGACTGCCGTCATCCTACTTGATACTGAAGAAATTGTAACTGATATAGAAAATATTACAGATACAATTTATAAGGCAATTGTAAATGTGGATGATATTGATGAAAATTTGGAAAGTGTTAGGTTTTATTTCAAAATAAAAGTTAATTTAGATACATTAATTAATGAAATTCCATTAGAAATTGAACAAGATCAGCGTGAACATTACATTGCAAATAAAATTAGCAAACTTGTTGAGCAAGGAGATGGCTATGATTATGTATATCATACCAAGAGTGGTTTAAAAAAAACCAATGTGAAGTTATTTTATTACTGGTGTAATTGTCGCAAATAACTTGTTTCAAAAAGTCAAAAACACAGTGATATTTCAAAACAATGAAATACTAGAACATATCTAACTCGATATGAATATGAAGGTTTTTTTTTAATTTCTATTAATTTAGCAGATAATTGTACAATTATTAAACTTAGCCACAAACAACTTCATCAACAGCCAAAATTTACTGGTGTAACAGAGCAGGTTAAACAATATATCCGTGAACATTTAATACTTAAAGCATCAGAAATTCATCGAGGAATTATATCTAAAAGACTTGAAGGGTTTGAAAATTTAACTGTAGATCAGGTATATTTTTGGTGGGCCAGAGAAGTATCAATATTTTATCGACACTATGATGATCAATATAAATCCTCAAAATTACTTTTAACTGAGAAAGATTATATGATTGTACTTAACTTAGAAGAACCAATGCATATCTTTAGTTTCGTAACAGAATTTTTTAATAAATTGTCACGTGAAGCATTTGAAACAATTGTAGTTGATGCTACTTATAATACAAACCAGTTAAAATACGAGCTATATGCATTGATGGTAGTAGTAGATGAAACAGGATTTCCAGTTTCTTACTGCTTATTGAAACTGGAAAAGATCGGAATATGCGTGTAGCAATAACTGCATGGTTTAAATCTTTATGGGAAAACAGACTTAAAAAAGTAAAAATAATTCTATCTGACAAGGATTTTGCCCAAATTAGTAGTGGGGTAGCTATTTGGAAAAATGCAGAGGTTCAATTATGTAAGTGGCATATGCAACGGGCAATTGAACAGAAATTTTCTTCCCAATATGCTGGTAATTCATCTCACTATAACGCTACTATTGCACATCAACAATGCCCAATAATTGATCCT